TTTAAAATTATGGATAATTATTCTTATTCTAAAGTAGAAGTATAAAATTCATGCGATGAAATTATTAAAGAAAAAAGAGTTAAGATACATAATAATAGATTTTGGTATTTTTTTAAATAAAAATTATGTTCAATTTTTTTCCTAATGATTACATCTCCTAAGGTTAGTTCTATAATATTAGTATCACCAATTAATAGCTCTTATATGGCAAATATAGCCGATGAAATTAAACTAATTTATAATCATTAAATATATCCAATTAAAATCTTTCTCTCTGTGGCAAAATCTGCATGTTTCGATTATTCAAAGAAGTTATATTTCTGACGATTGTGCCTGAGGAATCAGGAATACCTGTTTTCTCAAAAGTCCTCTTGAATCCCAAAGATCATACAACTACTTGCTGAAAGAATAAATGAAATACAGTTCTTGTAGGAGCAAAAATGGGTATGCACTGATAGGGTAGTAAAGGGCACTTCAGATTCTTGTGTATCTGTTGGTTTTTCCTTAATGGACTTACATTCAAGAAGGAAGATTGCATTCACCTAATCCTTCTTAAGGCTCTGGACCAAATCTTTCTTAGGCGCCCTCTTCATGAATCTAATAGGGAAGTTCTTATGTTAAATAAAAGAAACAAAGATGATATTTATTTAAAATTATAAGGTTTTCAATTATTTTATTAACAAATAGAGATCTCGTTGTTACTGTAACCTAAATCTATCTTTTTTCCGAATATAAATTTCATAAGATGTTTATATTAATTTAATTTCATCAACTTCTTCATTGTTTTTCATTTATTAGTTTTAACCTTTTACTTCTACATTTAGATATAGCTTTTAATTTATCTTCTTTTGAATCCTAATCTACCATATAATTCAATTTATAAATAAAGTGATATTGTATAATTCAATTATTTCTAAAGTTGTCAGGATATTGTCTTTTTATCCACATTAGTATTAAAAATAGTTCTATTATAACTATATCTTTTAAGCCCTATTCTATATGTTCTTCAGTCAATTTTATTTTCAACCATCAAGGATTGCTACCAACTAATTTTATTATAAACTTTTTATATGATTTCTATTTGACTTATTTGACTAATTAAAGCATAACCTCAAAGCAATAAATTTAGCAAAAAATAAAATTTTAAATATAATCCTGCTTTCTTCAATGTTTATGCTGCATTTTAAGCTTAACTAAATAGATCAACATCTTAGATTTGATATTTTGTCAAACATAAATAAAAAGAACAGAATATGCCAAAATAAATCCATTTACATTAGACTAAATGATCATGTTGGTTAAAATTCAAATGATTCTAAATTATTAACCATAACTTTCGTGAATATAAGTGGAAAAATTATGTTAAAGGTTAAATTATGGCTCCTATGTTATTTTAAGAATTTGTATAATATGGATTTAGAACATAGAGTAATATTAGGTTAATAGATAGAGATTAGTAGATAAGGGGGTGATGGTGGTGATAGGATTGATACACCAATGTAGGTGGTAATGGACACTTTGGGCAGGCTGGGATAGCTTCTCTAAGTAACCATCTGCATGAAATTTCAGGGAAAATGAAGGTGAGAAATTTTTTAGGTTATTTATTAGTCTCTATTATAACAAACTTGTTTCCTGCTTTGATTTATTGAGATTAATTTTAAATTAAATTTTGTAAACATAAATATTGGACATGAGAATTTTGATAAAGGTTGGATTTCACTCTATTAGATAAATAAAACTTTTTGAATTGAAAACAGATGCTTTTGACAAAACTCTCTGGATCTGTCTTAGATTGCTTATGATCATTTCTAAAAAAAATTCTGAGAGTGCCAGTTTAAATTCGCCGTAATCAATACATTAATTATTTAAATATGTATCATTTATTATATTTGTAAATTATTCATAAGACATTAATTAAAATCAATTATCAATAAAAAAGTAAAAGAAATTGATATATTTTTATTAAAATGAGGAAATCACTTTTCAAATTCAAATCTTTTTACATTTTATCTTACAAAATCTTTCATTAGCAATGAAGATTTTAAATTTATTCATTAAATTTCTCGAATAATTGCATGAAAAATGACATGAAGTCAATTGAGTATTTTACATCAGAATGAAAACATCAAATTTTCCTTAAAAAAATAGGATCTAAAACAATAACAAATGTTGTTAGTCCGCTATTTAAAAGTTGAACCTATATTTATTCTAGAGTAACGAAAATTAGCAGATATTGATTTCGGACTATATAAAAGTAATAAATACTAACTACAATTAATTTAATTTAGCAATTGGATGTTAAAATATTTTTTGACACATTATTTAATATTTGAATTCGAGAAATTTTTTTGATGAAACAACACATATGAATATAGAATAAGTTAAAGTCAAAGTATTAAATTTATTTTCTCACAACATTTGATCTAAGTATTAATTTAAAAAAAAAGATAATAAAATGAAAATTACTTGTATTGCTATAAATAAGTAACATAATTGAGTAATTCGAATGAAAATGATATATCTTAATAACTTGTCAATTGATGATTTTTGATTTAGTTCTAAAAAATAATAATAGAAAATTATAATGGTTAAATGTTTGAAATTGTAAATTGCAAATTTGGAATTTATTTATATTATTAAATTTTATATAATTTTATTAACCATAAGTAATAGAAAAAGAATAAGATTTGTTAAGAAGATTAAATCATCCATAACCATTAGAATTTATCATTCTAAATCCATAATTATCAAAAATCAGAGGCTCTTATGCAAGCCTTGTGGTCAATGGAATCAATCTAATTCTTAGATTGTGGATTATCAGTTTCTTAAATGTTATATTGATTAATAAAAAAGAATATATTTTAGACCAAGAGTCAAACATCATGCCTCATATATATTCAGAAAGCTTATAGAAAAATATAGAATCTCTGAAAAGAAGATTTATTCAATAACTTGATCATTTAGTTTGGCTAACAAAGATTTGGATTACTCCCAAGACAGAATATTTAAATTTGTTTAAAAAGAGAGTGCCTATTAGTTCTTTTGTATCAATTAAAATGGAGAATAAAATAGAAAAGTGAATCTTTCACTGATTTATAATGGCTTTGAAATAGTTAACAGTAAATTGGAATTATTAATCAAAAATCGAAACAATCACAATTTGAAGTAGTTTAAACTTAGAAGTTAAATTGCTGATGTGGTAGTAGATTTGTGAGTTGTTTAAAATTTTATCTTACCTAACTAAATGAAAACAAATCATCAAAATTTATTGTTTTAGTAACGATCAAGAATAGTTGATTAATTAAAGTAAGGATATCTTTTAATCATTCTTAAATTTAATCAAATTAATACTTCAAATTATATATTTAATCCTCATCTTGGCCAGTTTACTAAGTAGAGTAGATTTTAAAGATATAGCCATTTATAAATTACCATAACAATTTCAAAATTTTAAGTTTCTTTCTGCTGCTCTTAACTTGAATTTTTTTCAAATTTCAATTAATTAAATGCCTTTATTTCTAGTTTATGAGTATAAATTGAATGAATTACTTATTGTATTTCTATTGCATATTCCAACAATCATAAAAGTTCTTATTCATCTAAATTT